CGAGGTGATGAGAACATGTATGAACCTGTGGTTGTTGGGTTTTTTTCCTTAGTATTTCAAGAATATGATTTTTAGGTATTTCTTTTAGTAATAGTACATATAAAGTGCGATTTTAATCATTTTGAGTGTACATTTCAGTTAAATGAAGTGCATTCAAACTGATATGCAGATGTTGCACCAGGACTTCTCCATAGCGTGCACACACACACACACACACACACACACACACACACACACACGAGCTCAGGTAACCAGGAAGCATGGCAGCTTGAGGTGTTTGTCATTTTGTATCTGGCGTGTTTCACTTGAGGGTATTAGATTTTATGCACCATTTTCTTAACAGTTTGCTTTTGTGCCTTTGAAGATGGTAATAAACGAAAGCTTAGCTATTGTCCACAGTCCTAGGTCTGGAAATCTGCACCCAAGTGTGCTACAGTTCTTCCTACCCTCTGTGACTGAAGAGGAAGAGCCCCACACTCAGTTTTCTTATTGTTTCATAGTTCTATTATAAGAATATGCTTCCTGGATGGAACTTTAAATTTCCTTTAGTATTCTGCTTTCTGGTTGTTACTCCTTCTGTTTGGGGATCATTTCTGTGTCCTTAGCTTTCAGAGCCCCCATGGGGCTGAGGGAAGCTTAGCCCTTCTGAACATTGCTACAGCTTTGGAGCTGTGAATCGTCCTCAGAAAGCACTGCTAGTGTGTGGTTTTTTTCTTCACCCCCTTTCTTTAATGCATAGCCAGGCCTTTTGCCTCCCTTCCCCCACTTCTAGCCAGAATCCCTAAGGGAGGAGCCCACCCCCAAGAAAGAAACCTGTGTAAGGGGAGAGAAATAACATTTAAATATCAGACTTAGTATCAGAATACTGATTTTTGCCCCCCACTCCACCACGTTTCTCATCCAAGCAATTTGCAGGCATTGTCTAGTAATCTCCAGAATTGCTGCTTTCAGTGTTTCTAAAGATGGTTTGGTCCACCGCGAGGGGCCCTGCCACACCGCCTGGCGCACTTGCAGAGGCAGGGGTGGGAACAATGCGCTGAGTGGCTTTTTGTTTGCGTGCCCTGTTTACCTATTCACAATCGGGATCGCTCTGCTGAGATGTTGGGAAGTCACGTGTAACCTCACCTCTTCCCCCAACCAGGCTGAGAACCAGCATAATGCTCTCTAGACCTTCCGTCATTCGGTGAATGCTGCAGTTGGCGTGTGTCAGGATATGACCGAGGGCATGGTGGAAGCCAGCACGTGTGGCTGCCTCCCGGGACTGCCATGTGCTTTACAAGCCTGCAGTGTCTGCCTCAGAGCAGCTGGTCCTACACCGCCGCCTCCTGCCTCCAAACCCGGCTGCTTCCTTAAGACTCTGGGGAGAGGGAGCCGGTCCCTCCCTCGCTTGTTCATGCACATCCTGTGTCGTGAAAGCGAATTTTTCTTTTAAGCAAAATTGAAAGAAAGGAGAGCGAGAAAGAGAGAGGGGAGGGAGGGAAGGTTGCCATCCAGTGGAGGAAGGAGTAATTTCCAGCTTCATTCAGGAAAAAAAAAACAAAAAACCCGCAGGCTGAAGTATGCTTAACTCTTTTAACTTGGCTGGGGCTTTTTAGCACCATATGGGGTTTTCGTGACATCAGGAGCCAAATGGGTGCAGTGTGCCTTTAAGGAAAGAGGTGCCTCACCAAACTTCGCTGTAGTTGTGCCTCACCGTTTAGGTAGGGAAGGAAAGTGTTAATTTCTTATTTGTACACTTTTTTTCCCCGACTTCCTTCCTATTCACTTCATTAAATCTAGAGGCAGTTCAGCATGGGAGCCGTCTGTATGTTGAATTAGGGTTCGCACTCTTGCGCAACACGTCACCATTCGGAAACTGGGGGTTTGCTTCTGTGATTTATTTCATTATTGTGCTGGTAAAAGGTTTGGAAGGGAATTCTTTTTTGGGGGTAGTACTTTTAGTATTGTGTAGCAAGTTTTTTGTTTTGCTTTGGTTTCTTTTCTTTTTTTGTGCCCCCACCCCCCAGCTAAGTTGTGTCCTTTGAGCTAGTTTAACAAAATATTTTTAAATACAAGAAGTCCCCATAATTTTCCTTACATGCTGGAGAAATCTTAAGTCGAGTCTTGAAGTGCGAAAAGCATTGGGAAATATGGAGGGAATTGATTTCCATTAGAAAAAGCCCCTTAGAAACCAGAGAACCTGAAGCTCTGCATTTAGATGTGTTTGGGGGTCTTTGGGGGAGGAGGGAAGATGTTTTGCAGCTCAGTGCATTCCTGCATAAAACCTTAATTTAAGGGGAAAAATGGTCAGTGCTTTGTGTGTTTCCCTGTAATTCCAGAACCGAAATTTAATAAGAATCTGCAGTCGTAATAAAAAAAAATTGTTTTACTAGTTCTGTTTGCAATTTAATTTGTTTTCCCTTCTTAGGTATTCCCAGATTTAGAGATTTACAAGTCCAAATATCAGAAGCTTACGCTTTGTTCCCCTTTCCCAGAATTAAGGAGGGAGGGATGAGAGTAGAAATCCTCTTTTCACAACTTCCCCCTCCTCATGTATCCCACTGAAAAGAAAAACAATGAAAAATTTTACAGCATGAAACTGAAAGTAGAGTGTCACAGTTGTTCGGGATGTTCTTTACAGAAAAAAATAACACTGTATTAAAATACTGGAACCTAAGAACACACACGTAGCTTTTACTTACATGAATCTAATGGAAAACAATGTTTTTTTCCCATGTTAAAAATCGTTTTAGACTGCTCCAAAACCATGCAGCATATCTTTTTTGAAAATGGACTAAAATGAGGTATAAAATATGACAGAAAGCATACCTTGCTTCTATCTTTTAAAATACATTTGAATATTCATTTGTTTTCTTATTGGCTTAATTGTTAAAATGCAAGCAAGAATCAGAAACCACCTGAGCTAAAATCTCTAATTCTGCTGCCTGGAATAATAAGGGGGGAACAATATGATAAGTAGTTGTCAATATTAAAACAGGCTGGAGGAGGAAGGCTTGGGGCCTGGTCGTAGGTAGAATGAAACAGCAGATTTGAGTATCCACAATCCTTCCAGTATTAAATTTTCAGTAAAATAAAATTACTTGTATATGAAAACATAGCCTTTCCCAGCTCTCTTTTTTTTCCTGATCAGCTGATGAAGAGACTAGCAGCTCGCTGCTTTGCTGGCTTGTTAATTTTATCCCCACTAACTGTGATTTCCGATAGCCGGCCTGCTGATAGTGGTAAGGTAAATATCCTTTTTCGTTGCCGTCTTGAAGATTCAGTAGAACTACATCCCAGGCATGTGTAGGTGTGTAACACATCAAAAGCCGGTGTTCTCCGTATTTCTGTGTGCAACTGGGTGCTGGAGGAGAGCAATACCATTAACTGTTGACAGGCTTGCATGCTGTATTTATTATTAGCATGTTCAGCCTCCAAGATATGCGGGACAATTTCCTTTTCTTAATGTTCGCTTAGCTGCAGTGTGTTTAGCTGTAAAGGGGGTGTCCTGCTTTTAGGCAAATGAATATTAATGAAATAATGGGGAGCTCTTTTTTTCTTTTTTCCTTTTTCTTCATAACTCATCAGGTCTCGCCTCCTTCATAGTGGTTATCTGAACACTGTAGGATCGTGATGGAAATTGTCTTTTGATTATTAAGGCCTGGGCTCAGGCTGTCCCTTAGGATTCTGTCTGTGTGCATGTTGCTTCTATGGATTAGCACGTTGGAGGTGCATTGGAAACATTTTTTTTTAATCCCACTGGCATTTTTAACATGCCAGGTTGTTTTGTGTTCTGTACCAGGTTTTCTTCACAAAACCTTTCTTTTTCAGGAAGCATTGTACATAAGTGAAAGAAATTATGTCTGAGCTGTAATCACTCTTTATATTGATTGTTATACTCACATGATCATAAATATTAGCCATGTTTGGTGCTGTGGAGAAATGAAGGTAATTGCCTTATGATTAGAGCTCTTTCAGCTAGGAGAGGATTGATTAGCATTTGCATACTGGAGGCAATATTGAGAGGCCGGAGGAACAAATAACAACATCAGTTTATTTGTGTGAGAAAGCAATCTCAAAATGTAATTTAAAGAGTTTTTTAATGAAAATTTCTTTTCCATGGTCAAATTTTCTTTTATCTGTTTTTTGTTGTTTTTTTTTTCTTTTTTGTATTTTTGTTTTTCTCTTAATTTTTCTTATAAGTTTAGAGACTTACCAGGAGAAAGAAAAGTTTGAACTTATGGGTCTGTCACATGGATCTTTTAGCCTTTTATGAACAGGTTTCTTTCATACTTGGCTGTTTTTATAGCTATTTTATTATCTCTCTGCATTAGTGCTGCTGGCTCTGGTTTAAAGCAAGCATTTGCAGGTAATTGGAAAAAAGTGTTTGTTGTTTGTGAGTGTGTGTGTTCTCTATCGGATGATGTAAGTGCTTTTTACCAAGGAATGTGGCTTTGTACTTCCCGTTTCCTTGTTTACTAATCTCTACATTAGAACAAAAATCGGGATGGAATTTTGATTTATGCTGTGAATAATGTATATTGATGTAAAACCTTAAAGAAGAAAAGGTCAAAGTGTGTCTTATTGTACAGATGCATTCTTAGGGGGTTATCTTTTCCCCCACTCACCCCTGGTTTTTGTTTACCCCTGCCCTCCTTACAGTAATGAGACATTTAGGGTATTTTTTTTTTAACTGAGCTAAAATTTTATGTGGATTCAAGTATTTGAATTTATACATATTTTAACATTTGTCATTTTTTAAATTATCAGTGCTTTAGGCCTTAGGATATAGGCTTGGGTTAAAGAAGTATTTTATCCAATATGGTAGTGGTTCTTATCTTTTTTGCTGCATTGATGCTGTTAACTTTTAGTTTTACTTTGTTAGTTTCATTTTATTCTAATTATTCAAGATATGTATATCTATTAATATCTATATCGCTTATTATGCAGATATAGATAGATATGTTTTTCTTGACTATTTTCCTGTCTTGAATTTTTTCCCCTTTGTTTCTGGTTAACAGGCCATTGAAGACGGCAATTTGGAAGAAATGGAAGAGGAAGTACGGCTTAAGAAGAGAAAAAGACGAAGAAATGTGGATAAAGATCCTGTGAAGGAAGATGTGGAAAAAGCTAAGAAAAGAAGAGGCCGCCCTCCCGCTGAGAAATTGTCACCAAATCCCCCCAAACTGACAAAGCAGATGAATGCCATCATCGATACTGTGATAAACTACAAAGACAGGTGAGTGCTTCGTTCCATCCCATCCATACGACCTGAGTGCCTGGTAGTACCTAAGCAGCCAGGCTCAGGAAGCTGTGCGCCTGGTGAGAGCTTCTTTCTAATTTGTGTCTTGTGGCTTCTCTGAAGGTGAGAGTTGCCTTGTTCCATGTGAAATGGCCACTATTGCTGTTTTGTGTGATGGTTCAGTATGTGTTCTTTTAAGACAGTTGGAAATGAGTTTAGATGAATTAAAAAAAAAAAAAACTGGAAAGGATTCTTCAGGACCTCTGAAATACCATCACTGAGGTGAGAGGTGTTGGGATGATGGGATGAGATAACTGAAGTTAAAATTTTAGAGAAAAAAGAATTCTAGATGTATTCAAGGTGAATGTTTCATGTTAAGGACCCTGGTCAAAACTAGATGCTTCCTCAAAAATACTGTTTCCTTCTTTCTAATTCCTGGATTTTTTGAGCATTTCTATGAGCTCTCTTCTTCTATTACTGCTGAATATACTCAGTTGTATTTCAGCAAACTCACCTCTTTTTCATGGACTTTTTGGGTGTAGCCAGTAAGAAGGCCGTACTTGACATCGCCCTGACCACTTTAAGCAATGACTAATTATTTGAAAACTAAGGCAAAGATACTTGAGTGTGTCAGTCAACCTTACATAGCAGATAACTAGTTAGGCTACATATGGGTTAGTTGATTCTGGTTAATTCACTTAGTTTCCACTTGATAGTTAATGGTATTTTCATTTGAAGATTGAATTTTGTTTCCATTGAAAATAGATAGGAAAGCAGGTATTTTTGCTCTCTAAATTGTATGTGATATTCATTAGTTTTTAGAGACCACCAATTCTCATCACCAACTACTTACTGTTGCTGTATACTCCTGCCGTGTTTAACATGAATAACTAAATTGTGATTTGGGCTTTTCATTGTGGCTTTGGTGTATTAGACCAGGAAAGAAGAAATTCTTGGAAAGAATTTAGCATAAAAAGTAAAAATTTTGCACCATGAGTTTTGTTGTTAAGCTTTTCTCATCTGTATGAAGTTTCAGAAAATGGTGGTAGTGGGGGACAGGAGAAAAGGTTTGTTGAAGAGTCAGAATTTCTTGTCTTCCTTTACCTACTAGGTCCCATGCGCATTGGTTTTAGTAGTTTCCTTTTTGAAAGATAAGTACATCCCCTTTAAGTATTACAAAATGACCACTAAACCGTCCTGCTGAGTTTTGTCTGCAGTTCATTGACAATACAGGAAGGGAAACTTGACCTCAAATCTAGTGTTTGCATGGAGTGAACATGAAAACTTCTTGTGCAAATCAAGAATTGGTAATTCTGAAGTTTCTGCTTGCCCTTGGCTCCACCTGTCCATTTCCCATAGACAGGAAGTATGGATTATTACACATCATTTTATAAGCCCCTGGTGTAAGAAAATTATAGCTAAGTAGGAAGTGTCACTCTATACGTACCCCTGACTTTTTTTGATTTTTGTGTCAGGGGAGTGTAACATCTGTTTCTCCGACCACATGTGTCTTGGTCTTCAACAGACATTGATTTGGTGATTACATTGCTTGCAGATTGAATCCGGGTCCACTGGAACACTGAGAAGGACTGAGAAAGTCTGTGGAGATTTAAAAGTTGGACCTTTGAATACTGGTTGTTGATTGTGGCAATTGTGGGGTCATGTGTTGCCAATCGACTGTTTCATTTGGCTTTATATTGTTTGTTTTGGGGTGGTAAGGCAAATATATAAAGTTTCTACATTTCTTGCCTCCCTCTTTGGGAAAAAAAAAATCACAAATCTGGCAGCACTCAATCCAGCTTTCACCTTGTTTGAGATCAGCAGGAGGGAAGAAGTGACCACTCTACCTGGAGCACAGTGGGTCTCAACTGTCACCATCCCCTCTACCAGTATGGAGTGTGAGTTGCCCTTTGTCATCAGGTCTGTGGCATCCTGGTGTACATGGCTACAGCTAAGTTCCTCATAATCCTTCCCCAAATACAGAACACAGTCCTTCCCCAAATACAGAGCTGGGTGAGCTTTACCTCCCAGTATCCTGTGGCGGGGGTGGGGTGGGGGGAGCAGCAGAGCCCAGGACCTTGGAGCTGCAAACTCTTTTCTCACCCCAGCTGTCTGCATTTGATTCTTGACCCTGGAGATCACTAGCTGTAGGACTGTTGGTAACTTAACTTCCCCGATTCTCCCCATTCTCACAATTGAATAATGACTACCCCTGCCTGTAGAGTTGTCTTCCAGGGCAGTTAATATAACCCAGACTCTGGGAACAGTTTAATGATTAATAATCAGAATTTCAGACTGTTGGCAGTTAATCAGGCGGGTGAAGGGACCTCTGAGCATTATGAAGAAAGTGTCCTTGCTGATACTGGTTTCCATGGTTTTAGTTCCAGAAACAGAAAATGCAGTTTCACTGAAACTGATTATTGAGCATTCCTTTAGCTGCACTGTAGGTAAAGGATAAATATCCAGCACACAGTTATTGAGCAGTCTTTCCTTTTTTCCTGGCTTTATTTATTTATTTGCTTATTGAATTTTTCCATAAGAAGCACCCTCCTAAGACTCACTCTGTTAATTCCCACATTTAGGTACTTTGTAGAGATTGTGTACTAAATTTCCATTCGCTGCATGCCCCATATATATTTCATGTTAGTAATCCTCTAAAAAAAGCACCAACTCTATTTATATTTTTTATTTCTCTTACCATACTTGGTTCTCAAGTGGGAGGCACTCAAATTAGGAGGGCCTTAATTAGATACAGTGTCATATTTTTGGTTCATTTTAGAAAACATTACTGGGAAATGTACATCTCACTGTGTTGAGGTTTTTCCAACATTAGAGTCAGTTACTGATATAGTAACTCAACCTACCTGAAAAAGAAATACCACCTGTACTAAAGTCCCTTTCATCATCCCAGTCCAATGTTAGGGCTCTGACAGTCATGTAGATTGGCAGTGTGTTAAATAACACCTCCATCTGTAGTCAACAGATATATAAGAAGAACTGTCATGAGACAGTTGTTTAAAAGCTCTTGCATGATTCTGGGACAGATGTGTCTTGATATTTTCTTAAAGACCTAGGATAATTTAATTGTCTATTTATTACTTTGTATTTTAAAGCGTGCAATTTAAAAA